GGTGTCGTGCACCACCCCCGCAGCTCCCGGCGCCGCGGGCAGCAACACCTGCCCCCCCGCTGCCCCTCGCCCGGTGCCAGCCCCAGGCAGGGCCTTGGCTTTTCGCCGTTTTACCCCAATTGCAGCAGCTGGCTTTCGGGCCCGCGGCTGCTTGCCATGTGCGCTCCTGGGGTATGTACTAGAGACCGTGAAGGCGAGAAATGGCACCTCGCTGACGGCAGGGCAAGATGAGCTTTGCGATGGTCCTTATTGCCGGGGAGGTCACTTCTGGTACCGCAACCGACGACCGCCACGCCTGTCTGTGCGGGGAGGGTTAAGAATGGAAGAGCAGCGACTTCTCAGAACAACCAGCACTACAAGAAATTAAAAGGCAAGCAGAGAGGTTTATTGTTTTATCCAATATATGTAATTACCAACAAGGTTCTGCAATCGGGACTTTGAGCCCCAAAGTTGACAAAAGCAACCCCAGCAGGCTGGGTCTCGGGGACAGTCTAATCCACAGATCAAAGGTTTCTCAGAAGCTGAGCTACTGTCCAGTGAGGGTTACGTGTGCTCATTTACAGCAAAAGTTTATCAACCAGCTAGATTAAAAGGTCACCTTGTTTAGGGCACAGCACGGTTGTGAAAATTGGGCCTGTATACTGTGACTTTTTGGTTTTCTATAGTTCTAGACAATCCTAATAAAAACGGATGTAATTGCTCGTTTTTTTTTTTTCCTGGAGGAACTGCTTGGCCTTCACTGCTGCTAATGAAGACAATACTGGCATCAGGAGCAGTGTGTATAAACCAGCCAGCAATAAGGCTGGAAACAGATTTATAGGAGAGAGATTGTGAAGAGAGAGACCTAACCAGAGAGGACAGGGCGCGGCAGGCTGGCAGGGAGTGGCTGCTTGAGGTGGTAAGCAGTAATACAGACGTTCCTTTCAAATCTTGGAAAGCAGCAGAAGAAATAACCCAGGAAAAATGTTAGATTCCAAGGTAAATTTACAGGAAGATACAATCTTGTAAACAGAAGAGATGATCCTGAGTTTGTCACCAAAATGAAGGCAGTGGGGGTATTCAGCCACCTTGCAAACCCAGGCAACAAGCCCATCACTGCCTGATTATTGGGAATCATTGCCTCCAGGTAAGATGCCATTTAGGATCCATTTTTCTGTTTCTCTCTCATTCCAAAGCCAAAAAAACCCACGTGACAAGAAACCAGCATATCAGAGGACCCTCAAAAGGAAAAGAGAAGATTCAAGTATCAGATGTCAGCAGTTACAACAGGACATGGGGCTGTCACAAACGTCTTTAATGACATGCTTTGTCCTTTGCTCTTGATGTTTCACCATGTGAATGGCAGATTGTTCACAGCGTCCCAGAGTTTTCAGTAAACTAAAGATATTTGTTTTATTGTTTCTGTCTTGGAGCGAGAGATTAAAATGCTTGTAGGGGGATGAACATACATCCAAGAGAGGACAGTACAGCAGCAACTAGTCTCAAACATACTCAGCCTTTGGAAAATGATGGTAGTTTTTTCCCTCCTGCAGACATTTGCACGTGGCATCATCCACTTAGCAATTCCACTCACAAAATTATCAAAAAAATCAACAACTTCCCATTTAAAATTTAACTCAGTTGTAGACAATATTTTGTGAATAAAACATCAATAAAATCATATTATTCAGCTACTGTTTGGGAAGAAAAGAAAGGAAGGGTGGGAATAAAAGTGTGTCTGTTTCTAGTATTTTTGGTTCATGAAAAGAGAGCGCCTTCAGTCAGGTCAAACATAATCACAAAAAAAAATTTCCTGCTAATGCAAGCTGAAGTATATAATGGAGTTCTCTTTCCAGTCAGGGAATTTAAAGATCTCCCTAGGCTCTGGACTCAATCAGTAGTATCTAGAACTGAAACCTTAGTGAAAAACAGCACCAGACACATCAGAACTTAACAGGAGAAACGTAACTAGCCAAGATATGGCAGTACTGGAAAGAAAAGCAGCTATTTGATTAGTGAGAGAAGCCATTCCCAAATTACTTACTCATTTTGTCTTACTCCTTACAGGAAGTGTTCATGGGCAAGGATTTCAGGGTAGGGTTCAAGGGCAACAGGTACTCATGAATGGAAGTATGCAGAGATAGATATTCCACCAGTTTCTGCATCCTTTACAATTTGCTATTTTCAACTGAAGAAAGTAGAAATGGTTGGATTCTCTCAGTTTTACCTCATAAATTGTGCTGCAGTACAAAAAGGGTTTGTATTTGAGCTACAGCTAACCAGAAATAAACACAGCCAAGAATACGAGCCCAAAAGCTCCAAAACAACTCTCTGTCCTTTTATTGTGATGCATATGTTGCTCAATGCCACAAAAATCTCTCTTATGACTTAAGCAGCATAGGGTGACTTACTTGGTGAACTTCCATCCAAAATAGTCTCAGAAGAGCACATCTAGATTTATTCCTCCTCTGCCTTTCATAGGAGAAATGCGGATTGCTATTACAGTATTACTGCAGAAAAAAACAATTTGATTGCTGTTGTATTCTCTTTCAAGAAACACTATGAACGCACTCTTTCAGTGTATTCCTTGCATAGTATCAACAGAGTATTTTAGGTAGGCAATTACTCGAAGGCTGTGGCCACCATCAGCTTTTTGAAGTGGCTTGGCCTTTACTGCACGAATCTCCAAGAACTGCCCCTGCCACATGCGTACTGGCAGACCAAGCACCAACGAAACCCAGGCTTTCAGAAATCGAGAGTAGTAGTTAAACTGAAGAATTACAAAGATTCACAGTTGTAGATGAATATGAAGAAACTTCTCACAGGAACCTAAAGGCAAATAGAAGTGCGGAATGTACATGGACAGCCAAGCAAGATGCCTCAGCAATAACAAACTTTAAAAAAAAATTCAAGGTCTTTTTTCACTTTTGTGACTGCGTGTACTTTTGTGCTGTACTTGACTGTGCAGACACGTGCTGGGAAGGTGAGGATCAGGCAGGCTTTGCAGTGCTTGTCCCTTGAGAAGAAGCATGTGTTAAAAACAGATGAAATCATTCTGCACAGTTCTCTAATGTTCCCAGTCTGTAGGCTGCCTCAAATTTTGTCAGGAAATACTGTTCGTGTCTCTACCATCTCTGAAAAGACTGACACTGAAATAAAACCCAGATGCACATGTTAAGTGACCTGTAGGGCCTCAGCCTTCCGTATAAATTTAATGTTTCAGGTCTTAAACCTTCCCCAGCTTCCACCCCCAAAGATACAGGAAAGGCCTGGGGCAGGGGGGGACCACTCTGCAATTTCTGTGTTAGAATTACAGTGCTCTTTCCAGTTACATGTAGAACTGGAGGTCAGAGAAGAAGTTTTTTTAAAAAAAAAAGGCAGCAAAAATGGTAAGATAGGTTAATTCACTTCAACATCTTCATCAACATAGGTGCCAGGTGCTCTTTTAGCTGTGGATCAATTTGAATGTTGCTCAGTTCTTTGATATTGAGGATCATCTCATGGGCTTGGAAGAAAAGCTCTTTCCCCACAGCATCCTCCACCCGCCTGCGCCACTCCATCAGCCTAGGCCTGTCTTCAAAGATGTCGCAACCAACTCCAACAGGCTGCAGAAAGGGGAGAGAGCGACAGTGAGACATTGGGCAGTCACTTCTTCACCGAGACGACAGGCACCAAAAGTGTACCTGCAGGTACAGGCAGGAGAAAAAAAAGTGAAGAGGAGCTCACAGAGGAGCACAAAGAAGGAGGGAAATCTCCTCTGGTCAGATCTATCTATCGGGGGGACACACAGAAGCTAGTGCGTATTTTAAAGGGCATTTACAAGCCAATTCCCGAGTGCCGGCACAGGGACGACCACCACTGATTGTGACTTTCAGTTACAGCACTGAAGACGTGGTGGGCTGACAATTCCAGGGACAACTGCACAGTCCGCAGTACGGAGTGCCATGTTACACAGCAAAACCACAGCACAAAACGCTAAGTGTTTAATTGAACTGATGTCTTAGTTGACATAATCTACCCCTCTTCTACTTTCTGCCTGTGCCACTCCCTGGAACACAATGCCGTAGAGAAGCAGAACTGCTATTTTTCAATCTCTGGGATACAGAACTGGGAGAAGGAATCACTTCTGGGCTGCAGGATCCAGACCCTGACGGTCTGGCAGAGAACAACCAGTTTGTAACAGAATTAATTTGATTGCCTCTGTCTGCAGTTCAGTCTTTCATCTTCCAGATATGGCATGTTACGCATGTACCATCTGAAGAAGAATATTCTTGTATGATAAAATTATTCCTATATCATTTTCTTATTTCATCAGGCCTGTCTGCTATTGCTTCTCACTTTTATATATTACCTCCTTCTCTGGCAGTTAAAAATAAAGTCATGATAAAGGACGAAGGAGAAGAAGAAGTATTGTTAGAGGACAGACACAAGAGAGATCTGCTGAGCCAGCTTTGGGGTTTTTTTAACTGGTTTTCTGAACCCACTCCCATATTCTCCTCATTGTCTTCAGCCAGTTCTGCTGAGATATGCCCTCAATCCTCTTCCAAGTGAAGTGTTACCACATGCTGCTCCCCTCTCTGCCCAGCAGCATCTGTTTTCCCTTGTGCTGAGACTTCCTTACCACACTCCAGCACTCACTTGCATCAGCTCCACAATGGCCACAAGATCTGCCAGAGAGATCTCGCTCCCGATGATAAAAGCCTTGTCCTGCAGAAACCTCTCCTCAAACTGCTTCAGGGAAGTGGACAGCCCCTCCATAACCTCCTGGAGCTTCTCGGAGGGCAGCGGCTGCCCTGTGAAGAGGGGAATCAGCACCTGAGGAGAGAAGAGACTTCAGAGTACAGTCGGCCATCTTCTCATGGAGCTGGTGGTAGTCACACCCCATGAACTACTCATGAGCACCAGCAATCCTGCGGCAAAGCGGCAGGAGAGGATAATGCCAGAGCTTCATGGACTGCTGCAGTCCCAAGTAGCTCATGGACGGAGGGCACACAAGCAGTGCTAAGCGGCTGATCTGCCGTGACAGTAACCTCCAGCTAACGGGCAGCAACGTGCAGAATGAAGCCAAGGATCCAGCTCATTTTGTGCCTGGCAGTTGTGCCCTCCCGCTCCACCGTGGTGGGTTACAAAAGAAAAACGGGCAACGGCTCCAGGGAAGACAAGTCTCTGCCACAGTCACCCCTGCTACATCCTCCGTCTCAACAGCCTGCCCAGACGGGTCAGCAGGCTGCCTGCCCACCAGCCACCCCTGCTATCCACCCTGTTGTGCAACTGGGCGCTGCAGGCAGGCAGGCAGCTGCCTGTCCTGCGGGGTGACGGAAAGGAGGGCACGGTGGTGGCTGTGGCAGGGAGCGTAGGAGGGACTGGAATGCATCAACGCTGGCTGGAGAGGCAGGAAATGGCTTCCTCCGTGTGACAGCAGCCAGCGAGGCTAGGAGTGGGTAAGCGCCATTTTTACACCAGCCTTTCTGTGGCCTCCCAAGCAACATTCTTTAAACCACTAGAAATTTTTGCAGAGCGATCATGTAAGTGCGGTCCTTGTCTCCGCAGGCTTGCTGGCACAGGGGTAGTTGCCTTTCAGTAAGATTTGTCACCATTCACAGAGGCGTATGCACCGTTGGAGCCCGCAGTGTTTCACAACTACGCTGCTTCCACCTACCACAGCTAAAGAAATACAGTTTATTTAGAGAAGTAGAATTAAAGATACAAATTCCCATTGGTGGGAGTGGACTGAATTTCTACTTGCTGCTAGTATATTCAACTATTCAAGTTGGGATTGCTTAATCCAAGCCAGGATTTTTGCCAAATACATGTGGAATCTATTTCATCAGAAAATTCAGGGCCAGTTCTCTTCCTAAGTGGTTCCAATTATGCATGATGAGATCTCGGGGTAGTCGCTTGAAACACTCTTGCCTTTTCTGTATCTCGGGGCTGTCTGTCTTCTCCCGTGTCTAGCTAACATGCCTTCAATTACATGGTGGCTTTATACATTTCCCTATTTTCAATTATTCTGAGGACCTTTTCTGTATCTGGGTTATCTAATCAGCAGCAGCAATGAGCTGGATTTCTTTCCCTTGGAGCACTGCAATAACAGCCTGCAGAGACTGGAAGAAACTGCTTCTTGTATGAATCTGAGTCATGTTTGAATTGCTTCTCTCTACTCTCTAGCCAAAAATTCAAATATCAATAAATCAAAATGTTAAATGACTCCTGATATGCTTTGCTGGGCACAAACAAGGACAAACTTGTTCTGTGTTTACTGGCATCCCTGATTTCATCTGAAATTCCATACCTCAGCTGTACTTGCAGGGCTATATTTGCACCTGGGTCTCTCCCAGGATAGTTGCATTAACTGTCTGGTGAGTTGGCTGGAAATAGGTATCCAGCAAAATCATCTGGTACTAAACGATCTTCTGCCTCAGGGTGTTTCTGTTAATTTTGCCTAAATGTAAATCGATCTGACCATACCGAATAAAGAAATTCTGCCATTCTGTGTGTCTCTGTTCTGCCTATCCCTGAGCCCATGTCAGAGAAGCACCTAAGTGGGCTGGAAGCAGAAGGCTCCTTCTGGATTTCCCCCCTGATGGGGCTGCAGGGACCTGCTGTATGAAGAACGCAAGCCCTTCTGCTTCCAGCAACAAAGCACACGCTCGCCAAAGAAGCAAAACTTCTGTCTGTGCACACACTCCGCACAGCTGTGCGGTGAGGGGGAGGCCCCTGGAGGCAATACCCAATCTGTCATATAATCGTTCACAAATCCAGGCAATGGAAGTCTGTTGGGCTTTAAGACCTTCTGTATCAGACCTACTTTAAGGAAAAAACCAAAATGACCAAAGCTGCTTTTGCCAGATCCTGATGTTGAGCAATTAGGAACAGCTCCCTCTCCAACAGCTCCTCTCGGCTAGGAATGGCCTAGGTTTCTTATTTCAGTGTGACAGACTCTCTCCGAACTGGAGCCGTTCAAATGCTCAGTATTCTGGCAGGAAAACTTCACTTCATCGGCATTTTAATATTCAGTCTTCTTACCTTGATCCACATGGTCTTAGGAGCATTAGCCCGGATGTTAGCATGATGCCACGAGAGGTATTCATCTACCTGGGCCCGTTTCTGTATGTCTGACGGGTACCAGTGGTCGGGAGTGTTGTACTTTCGACTCAGATACAGCAGAATGGCCGTGCTGCTCGGGCATTAACAAGAGACAAGAAAGGGGTCAGGAGTTATGCTGCAGAATGCTTTTGCTCCCTCTCCTGCCCCTTCTGAACTTGCTGCTTCCACTAAAAAGGCATTCAGATCAGGATTTCTGATGGAGTCTAGGGACCGCATGTAGGCATCTAATTCATGTTGACATCAGAGATGGCACTTAATCACCTTCGTTCCCACGAAAACTTTAACCTGCTGGAAAGCCACAGCACTGTTCTAGGGTGCAGAGTACTGCTGACAGTACTGGGGCAAACAAACAATAAACCTCCATAACCATCTACCAGCAGTGTTAACCCCACTTGTTCCTCAAATGTTTTGACCCATCTCTCCGAGACCTGCACATGTTCATGTGCTTGTATACTAAATTAAACTCTCTAGTGGGTTATGTTGCCTTTTCATCGGACTTATCTCTAGCCTGAAGCTTCCACTGAAGTCAGTGGAAGTCCCAGCAAGAAGAGCCTAAAGACTCTTTTTCTGTTTGTCCAGATGTTTATGCTTTCACTAATTGGCAGGAGAAGTCAGATGGAAAAATATCTTGGTCATCTGCAACAATATGCAGGCTGTTACTACAAAACGAGATGCCACAGAAAATCCCGTGCTGACAAAATGGAAGAAAATGCAGATAATCCTACTATGCTGACACTACAATAGTTCAATTTTTTCAGTATTATGACACCATTAACCAGTTTCCACATTAATCTTATTATGTAAAACCTAAATTTTATCTCTGTAGGTGTTCACTTGGCCTTTATGATTAATGCAGATAAACAGATTTTTTTCCTAGGGTGAAAGGGATTTTTATGACTTCAAACATTTCCCAGAAATGTTTATAATCCCATTTTGAGGTAAGTGCATTCAGGGTAAGATCAAGAAGTTAAGTCAGCTGATTTGTTTACATTCTGAAAGATAATTCAAACAGAAAATGGAAACAGAACAAATGAGGTTATACTATTGAAATAACCAACATGTTCATGAATTCCATGATCCTTAATGATTCAGTGGAAATGGCATCTCCTAAGTGCTGCACAGATTACTGGTAGCCAAGGAAGTCTAAGGACTGAGTTCTTACCATTCTGCTAGGGTGAAGTCTCCATCCTTTAGTGCTGGTACTTTCTTCAAGAGGCTGACTTTTCCAGCTCCTTCACTATTTGATGGCCCTAAGAACATGAACAGACAAGTCAGAGGTTAGAAGTGCATGTGCCAGTGAAAGAGAAATTAAATACCTGTAGCCAGTTGGAAAAACAGTGACCCCTGTTAGGTTTTCCCTAATAGACAGTCACATTTCACAATTAAAAGGAAAGGAGATCAAAGAGTCAGTTTACAAGCTATCTGCTGAGGGCCGTTGGCTCAGGCCAGGCACAGGGCATGAAGCAGTTCACGTTTCTATAGAGAAATTCTGTTGCTTGACTCAGGTACCAGTAATACTTGCAAAACTCACTGAAAAAAAATCTCTCCCTGAGAGGCGTTTAGATACCACAATGAAGGTACTGGTATTCAAAACACTATTGCAGATAACCAGGAACAGCTGACTTGACTTGAGAGCAGTGTGTCCTGCAGCTTGAGAGATGGGGAGGGAAAGACGGAAGTTAGGATGAAGATAACTGAGCAGGTAAAAAATACTTAATATTTGCCAAGGAAGCAGGGTCTGGAAAAGTTGAGTTTGCATGCAGAGCATCCTAACGAGAGCAGATGGTTGCTACTCCTGCTCCTGTTCCCACAGGCAACACCAAAACAAAGTAATTTACCTGCAGTTTGTAAATGTGGCTGACTCCAGCTAGGATAGAGTCACGATGGAAACCAACGGAAAAGCCTTGTGCCCACAGAGATCACTGCAGTGGCTAATTAATCAAAGAGAACCCGGCTGGTTTATAGACACATGGAGCAAAATCTTTTTCCTGTTTGTCTCTGAAGAGCAGAGGGAATTGAGCATTTACAAAGCAAGAAAATGCTGTCAACAGAGCTGATCCCTCAGCAGACGTGCAGCTGAGGATGTTTCCAGAGTTTTTGCTGGGATGGGAAAAATGTGAATGTCAGCAATACAACAGTAGACTCATTAAATAATTCATTCAGCCACAGTGGACATTTGCTAGGGGCAAGGAAGCTCAAACACCTCTACCCTGCATTACTCCTGGCTCTGCACGTCAACCTGCCTCTGTCAGAAAAATGCAAGAGGAAGACACCATCCCATAAAAGAGTTTAAATTCCACAGTCCCTTGAGTTTGGAAGCATTAAGAGCTGACTATCTAATCAGGTTTTCAGTTTCCCAGTACAGACATTGGACTTGCTAGTCAGCAGTTAAATGCCAGGGAGTTGTACAAAAGTCCAGGAACACCTATGTAAGAAACGGTGTGAAGAGTTTGTTTGTTTTGGTTGGTTGAAGTGCTCTCTAGAAGGAGACATGACATTCCAGGGTGCAAATCCTGATCAAATCAGCATGACCAGAAGGAGGTCTTGTACAAAAATCCCTTTGTTTAAAAAAAAAAAAAGGGCCATTAACTAACAGACAGTGATCTACACCCCCAAGAACTACCTGCCCCCATTCAGGAGGCAGTGGCAGTGTCTGCTTTCCTGGACAAACGTGCAGCAGGAAATAGCCTCCAAGAAATAAAACCAGCCTTCGGACTATCACGTTTATTTGCAGTTGGCTTTGGGACAGGGTAGGAGAAAGGAAGGTTGCTGCATTACAAATTACAGACTGCTTTTCCAATATTGATTTCACATAATGAGATAAATCAAGCAGAGCAAACATTACCACCACCTTCTCCTGTCTAGCTGACCAGCCTCTACCTTGTTCCTCCTCTGAGAAGCGCTTTCTTAAATTCTGGTGTAAGTAGCTTCATTGGAGGCTGAGGTTCATATCCATCTGCTCTCTGAGAGGATTCAAACCCACGTCTCCCACCTCACTGGGAAATGTCTCTGGCTGCCTGCAGCTTAGCTGGGTAAGGGGTTCTACATGCACAGCAGAACCAGAAGAAAGGGCTTCTTAAGAATAAGAGCCAGACAGAAAGTGCAAGTTAGGCCTAATAATTGAGAAACTTGAATATAAGAAAAGAAATCCTGAAAATCAAGCCAGCAGGCAGAGTACAAGGACCGGGTGCCTTACGCCCATGATTTATACCATAAAAGCAGTGAGGCAAATTTGTGTAAACCTAGCGTCATGCAAGGAGTTGCTCTGGGAAGGTGCTTGGTCCTGTGCTTTTAGAAGGGCTCCAAAGGCCAGTGGTCGTCACACCCCCAGCTCTGGTGAGAGATGTAGCGTTCAGGTAGTCTTTGGAAAAATGCAGCAGAAAGCTGCAAATCAATAATGCTTACAACATTGAGCAGTCAATTCTCAGACCTAGCTGTCTGGTTGTTCTGCTGCCTGTGTTTATTACCTCAGGTAATAAACTGTTTATAATAAAGGTAATTTATAAAGGTTTATAATAAAGGTGATAAAGTTTATTACCTCAGGTAATAAAGTGAGCGGGCAACTGAGAAACAATAGGAGAAGCAGTGGGCGAGGGAAGCCCGAATCAGATTTCAGCCTGCTTTCATCATGTAGCAGCCCTAGCAGGAGTGCTGAACATATTAGTCCCCTGATGGGACTAACGTGTCATTACAGCGGGTTGGACAGTAGGTCAGTGTCTGCTGCACAGACTGCACCGCAGCCCAGAGGTGGCACCTTACTTGCTTTGGCTCGTACAGGGTCTTTGCATACAGGCACAAAAGACATGTGCCGAGACTCTGCCGCTGATGCTTCAGTGGGACCGATTGCTCTCTATTTATAAAATAGAGACCAATATTTGTATTTACCATTTAGCAGAGTTTAAGCTTGTGCCCCTCTTCCAGCACGTAGAACTTGTCTTCTTGTTTAGGGGTACGTTGACTTGACTTAGGGCTGTTTAACATCAGTTGCGTCTGGTGTAATTAGGTCTTGATGTCCCTCAAGGATATATACACACACACCATGTGTATTGCTGGGCTTTGAGGAATAACTTTAATAAGCAGAGTACACACTGCCAAAAAGCAGGGCAGGCTGCACACAGGAAGAATTCTTAACCATAAGTCATAGTGCAGGGAAGGAGATTTACGGGTGGGTAAAAAGAGCAGTGGACAAGATTTTACAGATGTAAAAAGGGAGGAAAAAAAAAAAAAATCAGTCTAATTGCCAGTCATGTCCCTGCCTAATCATCTCCTCAGCCAAGGTTTTCCAAGTACTATGCTTTGCCTTAGGCAAAAAAGTAACAACTTACTAGGAAAATGCAATACATAAATGGGCAATAGTCATCTTATACAGTCAGACAAGTCTGAACAGCTGAGTGTTTTTGTTTGCTAAGTACACCGTTCCCAGAGCACTCCTCGGCTGTCACTGTGACTAATTTGCTAGAAATGGCTGGAGGAACATTCCTTGGGGATCCACAAAAATAGATGCAGCACAGCTATGAGACTGCTCTGGGAGTCAGAGCTGCATGGTCAAACCATTGTATTACAGCCCCTTGGCAGAGCATGTACTTAAAATCGCTCCGGTCAGCCGAGGAGCTCCGGTCACCCCTTGACCCAAGGGGCCAAACAGAGCTTCCAGGGGCTGGGAGCAGATTCAGCTCTGGAGTGCAAGTCTGGGCAGGCGTGACCTGTTTCACCCTCCCCAGGCAGGATGGGCCCTGTCTTGAGAGGGCACCAGGATGAGACCAGAGATGAGCCGC